GATCTTCCTGATAGTGTGTAGTTCAAATGTCAGGAGGGAGAAATGACAGTGGTAAGAGACAGAAGCTGGTCCCTAATGGGGCAAGATGAAGTAAGAGCTAAAATGACTCTCTTGATTAGCTGTCGAGAGGGATGGGATGTGGGAAGAATCTGGAATAATTCTAAGTTCCTGACCGTGTCACCTAAATTACCGAGATGGGGTTTATGGGAAGAGAAGGGTATTGTAGATGAGAGACAATTTCAAATCACACGTATCTCCCTCAGAAGCAACAGTTATTCCCTAGGGAGATGGCTTGGTGGGGAGAGGGCTTGCCATGCAAGCATGATGTGGAGTTGGAGTCCTCTAAGGCAGTGTAAATGCTGGGTGGAGGTGTGTGTAAAGGAATCCCAGGTTCACTGGTCATCTGCTTAGCAAATACTGTGTGAGTTCTAGATTCAGTGAGCGACCCGGTCTCAGGAAAGTTAGGGTGGAGAAGAAAGACCTTGCCACATCAACCTCTGGCTTTTCTGTGCATGCTCATGCAGCAGACACATAAAACACACATGCACCTCGCAGTTAACAACACTTGGTTTTGATAAGGTTGGGAATGAGGGACATGGAGAAATTTTGCAGACTTGACAGGATTTCTGTGGTTCAGTGGGCTGTGTGGATGTGTGTGGCTAGTCTTAGGGGAACAGCCCTTCTCTCACCTTCAGGATGGTGTTAGCTGTGGGTCTTATATTGGTGCTGTTTGTCAGATTGAGAAATGTAATCATAGTTTGCAGTCTCTTGATTTCGTTAAATATATCCTTAATATCTGTTGAGATCTTTTTTTATTTTACTGTGATATATGACATTGATTTTTTTTAACTTGAAAATTACATTCGTGTGTGTGTGTGTGTGTGTGTGTGTGTGTGTGTGTGTATGTGTGTGTGTGTGTATGTATGTATGTGTGTGTGTGTGTGCACAGAAATCCAAAGACCCAAGAGTCTGCGTTTTCCTTTTACCATGTGATTTCCTGGGGGGGGGGTGTCAAACTCAGGTAGTCAGGCTTGGTGGCAAAGTTCTTAAATGTTGATACATCTTCCTGGCCCAATAACTTTTTTTTTTTTTAAGAAAAATAATTTTTTATTCTTTCCTTTTTAACCAGAAAAATATCCCATCTCTGCTCAAACTCATATTTTTCTCCATTTCTTGCTTTTGCCTCTTAGTTTGGTATAATTTTGATCCTGCAGGACACTGAGTTCTTAAAATACATTTGCCAATGCACAGTTTTGCAGAAGGGTTCTGCTGCTTGCTTTTTTTTTTTTTTTAAATTTATTAGTTCTAGTTAGGGAACAAGCTTGTTTCACATGTAAGTCCCTCTTCCCTCTCCTTCCCCTCCCCCCATCCCTCCTCCCCCACCCCCAAATCTTCCTGTGCTGGTCCTGGGCCCTTCCCCATGTGTCCAGGGCCAGAGTGTAACCCTTCACGTGGGATGGGCTCTCAAAGTCCCTTCTTGCACCAGGGAAAAATACTAATCCACCACCAGAGGCTCCCTGGAATGCAGAGGCCTCCTTATTGACATCCATGTTCAGGGGTCTGGATCAGTCTTGGACTGGCCCCCCAGACAGCATCTGGGGTCCATGTGCTCTCCCTTGTTCAGGCCAACTGTTCCTGTGGGTTTCTCCAACCTGGTACAGACTCCTCCACTCTTCATTCCTCCCTCTCTTCAACTAAATTCCCGATTTCAGCTCAGTGTATATCTGTGGATGTCTGTCTCTGCTTCCATCAGTCACTGGATGAGGGCTCAAGTTCCTGGGTCAGTCAGTGGAAAGGATGGAAGAGTTGGGTGCTACCAGATTCAGGGAGCAGGGAGCTCCTCGGCCCAATAACTTTTTATTGTTATTAGATTTATTTATTATATATATGATGTTCTGTCTGCCTATGTTTCTGCAGGCCAGAAGAGGGCATCAGATCTAGTTACAGATGGTTGTGAGCCACCATGTGGGAGCTGGGAATTGAAATAAGGACCTCTACAAGACCAGCTAGTGTTCTAAACCACTGAGCTATCTCTCCAGCCCCATCCCCAATAACTTTTTTAAAAAGATTTTATTTATTTATTATGTATACAACATTCTGCTTCCATGTATATCTGCACACCAGAAGAGGGCACCAGATCTCATAACAGATGGTTGTGAGCTACCATGTGGTTGCTGGGAATTGAACTCATGACCTCTGGAAGAGGAAGGAGCCAAGTGCTCTTAACCTCTGAGCCATCTCTCCAGCCCTTAAAAATGTTTTTACAACTGTAAATTTCCCTGTTACATACGGAATTAGTTGCCTTCTATAAGTTTTGTGTTGCATTGTTTCAACTTATCTGAAAGTATTTTATTTTTATTACAAAAAAAATCTATTTTATGTGCATGGGTGTTTTGTTCTTGCATGTATGTCCGTGCACCACATGTTTGCAGTGCCTGAAGATACCAGAATAGGGTGTCATATTCCCCAGGAACTGGAGACATGGATAGCAGTGAGCCACAATGTGCATGCTGGGAACGAAACCTGCTTCCTCTATAAGAATGACAAATGCTTTTAACTGCTGAGCCATCTCTCAAGTATTCCTGTTTTTTGATGGCTAATTCTTTATTTTAAATTATTTATTTATTTTATTTCATGTGCATTGGTGTTTAGCCTGCATGTATCTCTGTGTGAGGGTGTCAGGTCCCCTGGAACTGTAACAGCTGTGAGCTGCCATGTGGGTGCTGGGAATTGAACCCAGGTCCTTTGGAAAAGCAGTCAGTGCCCTTAGCTGCTGAGCCATCTCTCCAGTCCCTTTGATAGCTAATTCTAACTCATTGTAATCAGAGCACATGCTTCTGAAGATTTAAATTTTTTAAATGAATTTTTACTATTTTAAATTATGTGTATGTGTGTATATGTGTGTGTATGCATGTGGCTTCAGGTGCCTGAAGAGGCCAGAAGAGGGCATCAGATCTCCTAGAGCTGGAGTTATGGGCAGGTGGTTAAGGACAACCTGTCATGGATTCTGAGAACAGAACTGTGGTCCTCTGCAAGAGCAACAAATGTGTTCAGCTGCTGAGCTGTTTCTATGAGCTGGGCCCTGTAATTTGATTATTTAAAAAAACATTGAGGTTTATTTTAGCTTGATTCCTGGATTTGTTCTGAAGTTTCTGCCATATACATTTAAGAATGAATGTCTTTTCTGTTGTTGTTGTGTAGTATTTTGTTAGTGTGTTAGCCTAACTGGTTTATAGCCTTGTTTCAGTTTTCTCTTTTCATGCTGACTCACTGAAAGTGAGATCTTGAAATCCCTAACTACTGTTGAGGAACCTGTGTTTTCCTTTACTTCACCAGATTTCCTTCGTTTTGTGCTTCTTTAGTTGGATAAAACTACATCCTAAAGACTGAGCCTGCCTTGGCCATTGTGTCTTTGTTTCTAGTAACAGTTTTTGTCTTAAAGTCTTTTTTATCTGATATCAGAGTAGTGAATCCACCTGTTGATAATCAGTTAGTATCTGGGACCTGGTGGTAAAGACTAGAATAACCCGCTGAGGGAGGATGGGCTCAGGAAGAGGTAAAATACAAATCAACTACAGGCCTTAATCTATGAGGTGTAGAAGAGCATTTCAGAAGGAATGTGGAGGGCCCGGTTATGCATTCATTTTCTCTGCGGAGAGATGATGGAAAGAGTTGACTTTACTGAATCTCTGTCCTTGTGATCCGGGAGGCAAATCCTTTTATCATTGCCTAGCAATATGATGTCACATTTTGGTGTATCAGGCCCAGGTGAGGAAGGGCGAGACAGGATCAGGATAAAAGACTTTTCACCCTTTTCTGTGCCCTTTTGAGGTTGGTGCTATACCTTAAGAGGCTAACAGGAAGGGTAAAGGAACTCTCCATTAAACCCAGAGCAGAGGCTGTGCACCTCCTCTTGGATCCTGTATGGAGTCACAGATGTAAAAAGGAAAATAAAGATACGGGGCTTAAAAAAAAAAGAGCGTAATATTGCATGCATTTATTTGGTAGAAGTTAATAAACTGTAGATAGCAATTGGAAGGGGACCTTGTCCATATACTAGCTAAAAACAGATGTCATACAGAGTAACTATCATAGGAGTTGTTTGTTGTCTATTTTGTCCCACCCCCAAGGAGAAGACTGCTGTGCAGGTTCCAGAGGGCCTGTGTTGATGTCTGAAAGAGTCAAGCCCATCATTTCTAGGGTTGTTTTTCAAAGAGCACTTTTCTTCTTGGGCTCAAACTGCATTATTTTAACTCAAGATAAGAGACAGGAGGGAAAGGTTTAAATCCCAAATCTAAAGCTCTGTTAGTTGTTTCTGACACTTCCCTTTCCCACCCGACAAGTTGCAGATCTGTTTGTCAATCCCAGTGTGTACAGACAAATCATGAACTTGAAGTCAGGGAAAAGTTTCTCTTTAACTATGTTTTGCCTCTGGGCTTTTTTTCCTTCCTTTATTCTGTATGTCTTTTCTTCTTACTGCATGGCTGGCCCCTTGTGTCGTCCTCCTCTTCAGCTTTTCTCACTCAATCTTCTCTAGGTTTCTCCTCCTATGTATTCTGTCTGCATGCCAGCTCTGCATATCCTTTCTCCTGCCTAGCTGTTGGCCTGTTCAGCTCTTTATTAGAGCAATCAGGTATTTTAGGTAGGCAGAGTAACACAGCTTTACAGAGGTAAACAAATGCAACATAAAAGAAGTCAACACATAAAAATATTCCACAACATTCTTTTCTGGACATTCTGTGGTTATCCTCCAACCCTCATGGAGTTAAGCTCTGAGGATCTCCTCATAACTCTTGTTTGAAAACCATTGTGTTTCCCCACACTTAGTCACTCAGGTAAAACAATTGTCAGTTGCCAGAAAGTGTGATTGGAGGCTTTCTGCTTTGTATTTTACAGCAGCCCATTCCATATTAATAGAGTTGACCATGCCACCTGTACCTGTCTTTGTAACAGTACTGTGGAAAATGGGTGTTTATAGGCTCAACTTCTTTGTCTTGAAGGTTGTGGCAGCACTGCCGGAAGATATGACAGCAAGCTTTGATTCTAGTGGGGCATCATTCCAATTGGTGATATGTGTGCTTACTCTTGGACTGCTTGCTGTTTTTTTACTTCTTTGGAGAGGCTTCCGATCAGTAAGTACCCACTCATAGTAAGAGAATGGTCATTCTGGGTTTTTAAAATTTATTTTCTTTTATGTATATGAATGTTTTGTCTGTATGTATGCATGAATATATATCGAGTGTTCCTGGTACACATATAGGTGAGAAGAGGGCATTGTTGGATTCCCTGGTACTAGAGTTACTGATGATTGTGAGCTACACTGTGGGTGATGGGAATTGAATGTTGGTCAAGAGTAACAGGTGCTCTTAACCACTGAGCCATGTCTTTAACCCTCATTCTGTGTTTAGACTGAACAACTAATTGGAAAAACTTGTTAATTCATCGAAATAAGTCAGGTCATAGTGTTGCAGGTAATATGTAGTTATTAGAAACTGAATACAGATTTAGAGAAATATTTTTGTGTGTACGGATAAGATTTCCTTTGCAGGGATACTATATACTAGTACTAAATCCGCATTCTTCTTTCTTTCTTTCTTTTTTTTTTTTTTTTGCCCGGGATGGGGAGGTGGAGTGGTGGTTGGTTCTGTGTTTGTTTTAACAGTATTAAAAAGCCAGCAGATGTTTCTACCTCCCATCTTAGAGTAAAAAACACTACTGCCATTTATATTCAGTTAATAATCCCTGATATCATCCCTCTGGCCTGCTGTGTGGAGGTACACATGTCCTGGATCCTTTATTGCCTTTCCTATAGTTAATTTTGTTTTTTAGGAGGGAGTCATACCATATCCTTTTCTCTCTGAGACTTTTTTAGATATTTGCCCTGTGCTCTGACTTCTGTTTTCTTCATGGAGACCCTCTACTCGTGTTGTCCTTATATCTGTTTACACACATCCCACTTTATCTTGTCTTTCTATTTTTTTCTTCTGATTTTCTGTCTCTGTTGTGTAGGTGGCAGAAGTCTTTTGTTTGTTTCCCTTGATCGTTTTTCCCTAGCACCAGTGCTCTCAAGGGTGGATTTCTCCCTTCTTCATTGAGAGCTGAAGCTTAAAGAAGACAAAGGCTAATGAGTTTTTTAGAGTCAGTCTAGGCCTAGACCCCCATGATATTTCATAGACTTTTATTTTGAATATTTACAGTAGGAGACTTAATAATAGGGGTTCCTTAAAATACTTTGTTTTAGGTCCAAATATATGTGTGGGAAATGTGGGTTTAAGTGGTATTAAACAGGTGTCTTTAGAATGAGGCTGTTTCAGTGGTGGATCCTACTATGTAGCATTGTTTTCATTGGAAATAGAATGCTTTTGGGTAATTCATTCACTGTAAGGCCTTAAGAAAGTTGTTACCTTAAAGCTGGGAATAGACTTCATATAGATTTACTTGAAGGTATATTTGTTTTAATGTAATTTTTCTTAAAAATTTGTTTCAGATTCAAAGCCGATTTTATGTGGGTAAGTAGTCTTTTTTGATTTTAGATCTTGTGGTTGTATATAATTTAAAAACTTATAACACTTTAGTTATAATAATAGTCTTTCTTTTTTTTTCTCAGTAAGAGAGAAAAGACTTGCTCTTGAACTTTCTGTGCTAATGGAAGAGAAATGTAAACTACTTGAAAAAGTGAGCCTTGCTCAAAAGGAGGTAAGATGTGTTTGAAAATAACATCCATTGTAGTGTGGCACTTAATGGTTCTCCATGGATTATTCAGTGCCATCAGAGCTTTGTTTCATTGCAGAGTTCCCTTGCTCCTCACCTTCATCATTTAGCCTTTATCTTTGCAGCCCTCCTGGTGATCTATAGTGCTTATCTTCCCTGACTAAGGAGTGAGAGCACCTTGATTTGCTCATTCTCATTTAGATACTGTGAAATTGCCTTTTAAGTCTTTTTCACCTTAAAAAATGACTATTATTACTGTGTCTATCTCTCTGTGTCTGTGTGTGTGTGTGTGGGTGTGCGCGCGCATTTGTGTGGTGATCATAGGCATTTGTGTGGTGATCATAGGACGTTGAGGAGTCAGTTTTCTCCTTTTACCAAGTGGGTCCCTGGGATTGAACTCAGGCAATCAGTCTAAGCAGCAAGCTCCTTAACTACTTAGCCATCTTGCTGACCCATTTCCACCCTTTTAAATGCACTCATAATCTTTTTCTCTTTATGTCATATAGAAAGACTTTTGTTTTTAATATTTTCTATCTTATGTATAAGAGTTTTGTCAGATATATATCACTTGTAAGTATCTTTTACTCTGTGGCTTATGTTTCTGTCTTGTTTGGTGCCTTAGAAGGTAGAGGCTTAGAATTACAATTTTAATGCAGTGTAATGTGTCATGAGATTTTCACTTATCAAGGATGTAAAGGTACTTTGTTACTTGTTATGGTGTAGAGACTTTATTCACTGTCTTCATTTGGGCTTTGTATTAGTTAGCTAGGGCTGCTGTGACAAAATGCCACTTTAGCAGCAGGAGTGAATTTCCTTACAGTTCTGGAAATGAGTCCATGGAGATGTAGGCAGGCTTTGCTTCCTCTGTGGCCTGTCCCTTGACTTGTAGATAGCTGTCTGCTTGTTGTGTCTCACTCTGTCCTAATGCTCTCATCTTAGGGTACCAGTCATGTTAGGTTAGGGTCGTTTTAACCGCCTCATTTGAACCTACTGATTTTTAAAGGCTTTGTGTCCAAATAACACACATTCTGAGGTGCTGAGACTTAAGAGACAGGGTTTCTCTGTGTAGCCTTGGCTGTCCTGGGACTCTCTCTGTAGATCAGCCTGGTCTCGGACTGACAGATTTCGTCTTCCTTCCTGGTCTGGAACTTAAAATCGTATCTTCCTTTCTTGCGTTGTCACTTGGTGTAAATGTGATAGCCAGTTACTACACATGGCTCCATTGAAAGACTGGAGAAGCTGTTGATTTGTTCAGGGCATAACAGACAACTCACTTCTTCGGATATGCTTTAGTCACTCTTGCTGTTAGAGTTGTCACCCCCAGCAGACTTGGGACAACTTTGCTGGTCAGAAGGGTAAAGTTGTGCCATATGTTGCCCAGGCTGGTGGTTGTGGCTTGTTTGCGGTCCTGACTTTGCTCAGCACAGTGGTTAGATTGCAAAACTAAGCTCAGAAAATCCAAGGGAATTTTACATATGTGGAGATAGATTCTGTTTGCTTCTTTGGCATCTATTTAGATACAATTTGAGAAAAAATTTGTAGTTTTTACTCACGTGTTGCCTTGTTTCATTCAGTATGAAGGCTTAGAGTCATCTTTAAAGGAGGCCAACTTTGACAAGGCGCCAACAGAAGCACAGAGTTTGGAGGTAAAAAAAAGTATGATTTAAAAGTTAGGGAAAAGATTGTTATTAAAAATACATTATCTTCTCAAAATAATTTATTTCAGAAAATATGAAATGGTATATCTGGATCTTAAACTCTACGGAAAAAGAGAAAATAGAACATTTGGAGGTAGCATAAAACATTAAAAAAAAACATTTTCAGGTCTTGTTATTAACTTGTTTTGAGGGATATAAAATCATTGTTTCAGAATCTATAGATTTATAGAACGAAATCCTTTATTCTGTACTCCTAAGAATGCATTGAAATCACCATTCCTTTTTTTTTTTTTTGGACATAGTTTGCTCCAGGAAAGAGACAGAGAACTCTCACAAATTTAAACATAGTAGGAGACAAGCAGGGTGTGACCATATTATCTTTTTCTTACCTTGGTAGTAGGCCTTATCTAATATTAGACCAGAGGTTTACATTGTAAATAGGGGCATGGAGATAAATATTTAATCCCTGTCTACACACACTATCATGGCCAGTTTTCAGTCATTAACATGATATCAGTGAATGGAGAGTTTAGGAGAGTTAACTCTCCTGTTTCACAGGACACAATTATTCATCTTAGCAGACAGAGTAGGATGTGATGGAGAGCCTCGACTGTTTGCAATGTAAGGCTGTAAAACGTGAGTGTGAGCCTGTATGGTAAATAGAAACAGCCTGCTCCTGCTGGTGATAAAACAGAAAACAGACCTTGTACCTTTGATTTAGGTGTTCAGTCCAACGTGGCAGTTCTGTCATTGTCTGTCCTCAGTAGAAATTCTGTCTTATGATTTAGAATGCCCCTGTAGAACCCACAAGAAGTTTAGACTCCAAATACATTCCTTAATTTGTTACCTGTGAAATCCTCAAGAGCCCTTTGTAGTTGCTATGTTTTATTGGGTAAGCCTCAAGAACCTTTTGTGATTGCTATGTGTTATGTTTCGAGCCTCTATTGTAAGTGCTATCCCAATAGGAACTTATTGGTTTCCCCGAATGAAAGGAATTTAGCAGGTGTGGGGCATGCTTATCGTTCCGGAACTTGGGGAGCTAATGTTGGAGGATTGCCAAATCTGTCTCAAAACACACACACACACACACCACACACACCCCCCCCATACATACACAGACACAGACACAGACACACACATACACACTCAAAACAAATGTTAGACACAGATATAACAAACCGAAACCACATAGAGTTTTAGAAGCTGCTTGGCATGCTACAGCATAGTTGTTACTGGGTAACAAAGACAAATACTCATTCAGACTTGACGTTACAGGTAATATAAACACACGTTTGTCATGACAGTAAATTTATGAGAATTATGAGTAAGATGAGTTGAAATTTGTCTACATTGAATACCTTAGAAAATTATCAAATTTTAGTAATTGAAACCGTCTTTAGGGGTAGTAATCATAGTTGCACACAAACTATAATGTAATACAAGTTTTACAAAGCTTGAGAATTGACTTTGCAGATAAAAATCAAACCAATAGAGTAATCTTCATTCAAGCCAAAAGCCCTGTAATGAAATAGTCAAATTTGGTGAGATTATAAGTAAACCGTTTTTGAGACTACAATAATACATTTTGGTTTTGTTCTTTTTAACAAGTTTGTTGAAGGATCGCAAATATCAGAGGTATGTTAATTATAGTATCTAAAATCCAAAAACCAATCTAATAATTAATCACTTTAAATTAAAAATATTATACAAATTGTCATTCAATGGAAAATATGATTACATACTCTTGATTTTTAAATTTATTTTTGTATTTAATTAAACTTGTCCTTTTCTCCTGTAACATGCTTTTTAACATACTTTAGACTGTCGACAAGGTGTGCTTACTGGATTTTCCCCTTCTGTCTTTGTACATTGGAATGCAACCATATTAATTCCTTCAGGGGTAATCTTTTTTTGTCTTGGTGTGCTGATGGGTGCCTGAAATATATTTACACTTTTATAGAAGTTGCTGCCTACTGCCACACTTGCTGTTACTTTAATATTAGAGAAATGAACAAATGTATAAAGTGTTTATTAATTTGCTTGATTATACTCATCTGATTTTTACCCTCACTAAAATTTCTTGTGTCTGGCTTGTTAAAGTTAGCTTTCCATTTTAGGTAACCTATGAAAATCTAGAAAGAGATAAATCTAAACTTGAAGATGAAATACTACTTTTAGAGAAGAAACTAGAAGAAGAGAGAGCTAAGCATAATGAACAGAATGAATTGGTGAGTCCTGTGATTTCCAAGAGAATTATGAATCTTATATAATAATACGATATTGATGAAAATATTCCATGTAAGCCAGCCATAGTGACACAAACCTGCAATCCCAGCATTTGGGAGGAGGAGGCAAGAGTTCTAAGCTATCCTGGCCTGACAGGAGAGGATACACTATCTTCAAAAATATAAATAAATGAAAATAAATAAATAAAATTCATAAACCAACCAACCAAAGAATAAATCTAACCAAAGCAAAATAATACAAAACAAGAAACTCATGTATGTAAAAAATAGAATGTAGAAGATCATGAGAACAAAAATTTCCACATCAGATCTTTTCACTTTTTTTTGTTTGTTATTTTGTTTTATGGTTTTTCCAGACTGGGTTTTTCTGTATAATAGCCCTGGTGACTGTCCTGAAACTCACTCTGTTGACCTGGCTGGCCTGAAACTCACAGAGATCCACCTGCCTCTTCCTCCTGTTTGCTGGCATTAAAGGCGGTTTCCACCATCTCTTGTCAAATTTTTACTTTTTAGATGTTATGATCCTAAGTGTTTTTTGCATATTCCTTTTTTCGTATTGTTTTCATTTGTTGAGACAGTCTTAGAATGTAGCCCAGTCTGTATAAGTGTATAGCTGTAAAACTGCATAACTGTATAACTGGGGCTGGCCTCAAACTCATGGCCCTCCTGCCTGTGCCTCCTAAGAGCTGGGATTACAAGTGTGCACCCCCACACTTGGCTCTCTTGTACATTTCCATGGGAAATTTCCATGTGTGCTGTGGAAGTAACCATAAATAATATAAGTTGAATAATCATAGTGAAGGAGATATACATTGTGTGTGTGTGTGTGTGTGTGTGTGTATTAACTTATAATATTTATAACTTTTTTTACTTTAAATTCATAAGGAAAATCTTGACATAAGGAAAATCTTGAGGTGTGTGAGTTCATTTAAAATATGAATTAGTGAACTTGAAAAGTAATGTGATACATTGAATTTGTGAAGACGTACTATTATGATTTGTAAAATCCTTGTGAGCACACGGTAAGCAAGCTGACAAGGCCTTTTCATCTGGCCTCTCACTTTTATTAATAATAAATTCACAGTGTACCTAACTAATGCATGTTGTCTTGGAGCAAAAGAGACTCATTAAATACTTACTGACTGATACTGTCTTTTCAGATGACAGACATTTCAAAAAGTATACAATCTCTAGAAGATGAATCAAAGTCTGTCAAGACACAAGTAGCTGAAGTAAGTTAAGTTGAATTACTTTAAGTGGTCTGTCACTTTTGAAGAACATTTATGTTTTCATATTATTATTTGGTATATTTGTCAGAATTCTAGGAGAAACATAAGTAACGGGATGACATCCATCCATCCATCCATCCATCCATCCATCCATCTATCCATCTATGTATCTACCTACCTACCTACCTATCTAAAGGGGATTTATTAGAGTAATCGTCAGGCTGCAGTCCAGTTAGTCCAAAAATGGCAGTCTACCAACAGAAAGTTCAAGAATCCAGTAGTTGCTCAGTCCATGAGGCTGGGCGTCTCACCTGATATTCAGTATCCACTGGAATTCCAACGAAGTAGTCTGAATGGACTTGCCAGTGAGAGTGAGGACAAGCATGCTTCCTCCTTCTAAGTCCTTTAGATAGGCTGCTGCCAGAAGGTATAGCATCTCAAAAAATCCAGATCAAAGGTGGGTTTTCCCACTTCAAAATGATTTGAGAAAAATTATTCACAGCTTGCTTGGGTTTTAGTTAATTCCAGATATAGTTGATAACTAAGAATAGCCATCACATTAGGTGATAAAATAGTGCATTAGTATTTGAAATATAGAGACTCTTAAATATGCATTTGCTTTAACTTGAGTTACTTAGAGTGACATTCATTTTCCCCTGGATAGATTTAAACTATGGCTGTATCTGAGCACTCTTGAAGTTGTATAACAGGTAACGATACTAAACAGAGTTGCTTCCCCGCAGTATCAAGTTTAGGGCAGGAGACAAAGAGTAGTGTGGGATCTTTCTGGAATAACTACTCCTGCACTAGTGATTGTGGAAGAGAGATGTCACCATCACCAGTGGACTGTAGCCAGAGCTCCTCCTGAAAGCCTTTAATTCTGGGTCTAGTTTCTTTTCTAAAATCACAATGTGGGCAGCAAGCAAGCAAGATTTTGCTGAAGTGTATCTGGCAGTAGCAGGTTGCTAAGGGCAACGACCCATTGTTTCATCTATTTCTCCAAGTCATTCTGTTCCTGGTAGCAAGTGAAGCCATGTCTGGCAAATAAGCAGTACAAGTAGTGTTTTAATTAAGTCGCTAAATAAACCAGTATTTCAGTAAATAATAATTGTTCTTTTCTATTTCAGTAGTTAACAAAATTGTCCACATTGTACATGCAAGCTTCAATAATTCCGCTCAAAGTCACTTGACAAATGAGTGTTACATCAAAGTAGTGTTGATACTGCCTCTGCTGTTAATAGTGTCATGTTTTGGCTTTTACTTAAATTTTATGTTCTTCAGAGAATACATAAACAGGAGGTTTTCTGTTAAATTGTTATAGACTTTGTATTTCTTTTACTTAGGCCAAAACTACCCTGAGAATATTTGAAATAAATGAAGAACGACTTCAGGGAATAATAAAAGATACCTTGAATGAAAATTCTCAACTTCAGGAAAGCCAGAAGGAGGTTTGTAGTCTACAGATACTCATTTAGATCTGAATATAGCGTTTGATGTTCTGTACACCTCACAACTGACCCATGTGTGGAGTTGTGTAGTGAATGAGTAGGCTTTTGAGAGCAGCCAGTGTCCCATGCAGACTTCCATCTTCCATAATGGATTTAAAAGTGGGTCCTTCCATCTCTGTCTTCTCCCATGAAGGAAGTAAGCCAAGTCTTATTGTGGTTTTTGGGACAGTATTTCTCTGTGAAATAGTCCTGGCACTCACTGTGTAGCCCAGGCTAGCCTCAAACCCAGAGATCTTTCTGCTGTGCTGCATTTTTTTAAATAAAAGTTTGACATTGCTGCATTGTCTTCTATAGTGGGAAATTACCAATACGGAGCCAAGTGGAAATATAAGGGTATTTAATAGGGAAAAGCCTTACTTACAGAGCGACCTAGCCAGCCAGCGTGGCAGCAGCCTGTACCCAAGCCAAAAGGGAAAAAGAAACTGAAATTGACCAGCCACTGACCACACCCTTGCAGGCGTGGCTACAGGTTCCCCTACTGTCTTCCCATTCTACTTTTGGTTTTGGGACTTGAATGCTGTGTAGATTATGTTGCCTTCTTTGTTTCCTGCTCTTTTTTCTTCACAAACAATATCCTTCTGTTAACTTTAGCTCTCTGAAATTATGTGATGATGTCTCATAATGTTTCTTCATATGTTAGACACTTGCATTCTGAAATCTCTTGATTCTGTGCGTTACTGGAATTATTATAATATTTAACATTATTTATTTATTTATTATGTATACAACATTCTGCTTCCACGTATATCTATCTTTAGCTATCTGAGATTATGTGATGATGTCTCATAGTGTTTCTTTTATATGTTGGACATTTGTATTCTGAAATCTCTTGATTCTGTGGGTTACTGGAATTATTGTGATAATTTAACATTTTTATTTGTTGATTTTGTGTGCGTGTGCGTGTGCGTGCGTGCGTGTGTGTGTGTGTGTGTGTGTGAGAATGTTAACGTGTGCATGTGAATACATGTGTAACTGTGAGTAGGAACCAGAGACCTTAACAGTGTCAGGAATGGATCTCCCCCCACCCACCTGGCTTTTAATTTTTGAGACAGAATCTCTCTATGTAATCCTGGCTATCCTGGAACTCCCTATGCTGCTCAGGCTGACCTTGAACTCACAGAATTCCACCTGCCTCTGCCTCCTGATCACTGAGATAAAAGATGTGTGTGACTGTGCTGGGCTAGGTTCCATCTTGTTGAGCTGGCTCGTCTTAAATCCAATTAGGAAGTGGTTGGTTACTTTCATAGCATTTATGGCACTACTGTACCAGTAGGCATGTAGCTTGCATGGTTCACAGGTAGGTGACATTGATATAATTTTTTTCTCTGGTGTATGCATAATACCTTCCAGCATGATTGAAGCACACCAGTAGGGCTGAAACATCCAGCTATATGCAGGCATAAAGGAAACAAAGATAAGAGATGAGTGGCAGAGAATGAGACGCGTATATGCATGTCTAGGAGAAGACAGGAGCAGGAGGGAGGAAGAAGGAGAGAAAAAACAGGAGAATGTATGTGTGTGCTTCTGGGTGTTGGTGTGTGCATGTGTGTGCAGGCACCCTAGAGGCCAGAAGAGGACATTAGCTCCTCTGGAAGTATAGGCACTTGTGAGCTGCTCAGCGCAGGTGCAGGGAATTGAGCGTGGATCCTCTGCCAGAGCAGCATGTGCTTTTAACTCCTCAACTGTCTCTCCAGTTCCCCAGTTCTTCCCTTTTGTTTTCCACTCCTCCCTCTGTTAGTACTGCTTTCAAATCATGAGCCTTTCTGGGTTGTGTGAAATCATCTTATTTTCTGTTTGCCTAACTGGCTTAGCTTTCTTCTGTCTATTGTCTGTGGAGTCTTTTTTATTACTGCTGTGTCCCTACGTGCTATTTGTCCATTTTCTTTTTGGGTTGATGCCTTTTCCTTTTACATCTTGTTCTGTCATCTTAGATTTCAGAGAACATGGTGGTGAGGACTCCTGTGTAGATTTCCCATACTGTAATCAATAGTGCCTCCTCCTCACTTCAAAGTCCTGCCATGTAGCCCAGGCTAGACTGGAACTTTCAGTGCAGTTCAGGCTCAGAGCATCTGCAGAATATCTGTTCTAGATCAATAGTATGCTTGAGAGTTACCCATCTTCAGATAACTCTGGACAAAGCAGCATGGTGACTAAAAAAATAACATTAAATAATGAGAAAAATAACATGAAATAATGAGATACGACATACTATATGCAATACAAAGAAATAATTGACTAGATTTATCAGATTAAGTATGTGTCAAAATCTTGATAAAAATTTACCTTGTAAATCAGTTGGAGAATATTTGTTATTTCACAGTCTTCTGTGTTGAAAGTTCTTTATGAAAGGGAGGCACATCTGAGTTCCTTTTTTAAGTAGCAGTCCTATCTTTTTAATCTCTTTTAATGATACATTTAAATATTTAAATAAATGCATCTAACATTGTGTTGTCTTTCACATTCTTGCTGTTGTTTTCCTATCAGCTTTTACAGGAAGCTGAAGTTATGAAAGAACAAGCTGACCAACTGAATAATCAGAAAGTAACATTTGAAGAATCCAAAGTACAGGCAGAGCAAGTCCTAAATGATAAAGAAAATCAGATCAAGGTAATGGCTCGTTGGTTTTAGTCACTAGTTGGCCACAATTTTATACTTAATTGGAAATACAAATACCTTTAACATCTTTTATTGCTATTTTGTCTTTTGTCACATTTCAAATGATTCTTGAAAATACGTAGATTTGTAATATATATGTTAATATGACATGTGTTTGTTCTCCAGTAATTTAGCCTGATGTTTATCAATAAAGAAAGAAAATAATGACTTTTACCTTTTCTTGTTATGCTGACATCTGCTGCTGTTGATTAAGAAAACTCTGAAAAACCGGGTTTAAAGTTTATATTATATTGGCTGAATATTCTTATTATCCCTACTAAGTTTGTGTTATTTATTTCATTCCTACAAAAGCTTTTTAAATAATTAAAACTCAGGCTGGGAAGATGGCTCCCACGATAAATCATGTGTTTCGTAAGCACAATATGTGTTCAGATCCCCAGAATCTTAGAAGCTGGGTTTTGTAGCATAGTATCTAATGCCAGTGCCCTGTAGTAGAGAGATGGAGGCAGAGTCTGGCAGAAGCTTGAGGCCAGCTAGCCTGGATTCCACAGCAGTGTCTCAAGCAAGGTGGAAAGAAACGACTGACCCCAAAAGTTGTCTTCTGACCTGTGTAGGTTTTTTGTGGTGTGTGTACTTGAACCCGTCCTTATGGCTCTCGGTTCACACCCACATACACTAATTGGAACTTGATTCTAATTATAGGAATACAAAATTAACATTACCTAGGCCATTGAGTGTACTGAGTGTGTAAAAGCACTTGCTGTACACTTCCTGACACGAGTTCATTTGATTCTTAGGACTCACTCTGTGGAGGGAGAGAATTGACTCCTAAATTGCCCTCTGATCTTCCGGCATATGCCATCACATATGTTGCTCCCCACCTAAATAAATAAATGTAAAAAAATAATAAGAATGTTTTCAAGACATTCTAGCTTTAGTTTTACTCACAGTTTGCCATATACTGGATTCTCTATCTCTCTAAATTCAACCAATCACAGAATATTGCTCTTAACAAATTTGGGCTGATGCGAGGGTTCATTGAGTAAAAGTGATGACCTGAGTTTGATCTCCAAACTCAGAAAAGTAAAAAGAGAAAGCCAGCTGACTTCAGTTGTCCTCTGACCTTCATGTGCTTACCCTACATACTCAATTCACAGACATACCAAAACAAACACTAATAATAAATAAAAGAAAATAATGGCCTGTGTACTGTGCATGTGCAGACTTCCTCTCATTCCCTGTAACTGTTAATGCAGCGTTTGTGTTGCATTCGTTATTGCAAGTCGTCTAGGAGGATTTGACGTGTACATGAAGATACATATAGGTTA